CACACACACACACACACACACACACACACACACACACACACACACACACACTGACATAAATGAACACACATGCACAGCTGTGTCGCCGCCCACGGTCTCTGGTTGTGCTTCGCTCTCTAACTCCTTCCCTTCGTTCGGTTACTGATAGTTTCTTGTTGTGGTTTTTAGAAATATTGTGGTGTTTTGGGGGAACTTTTTTGTTTTTTAGTTTAACTGTATGGTTGTTGTAGGAGCGCTGCAATTTTAAAACATAAACAATAAAGTTGAGATGAAATTAGATGTTTGGAGATTTATGTTTGTGGAATTTGTGCCTTAACAAAAACAAATGACTTGTGATTAAATCTTTAACGTTTTGTGCGATCTTGTGTTATGAGATGTCATGCTCAGTTTGTTTTGTGAATGACTCTCAGCTACTACTACATCAAATTTTACCTCAGGGTATTTTGATATTTTTATGTAGGATAAAGTCAATTAGCTGGAGTTAATCGTTATGACCACAAGTTTGATTAAAATCTATTCAGTGGCTGGTGAGATATTTTGCTAACAAATACACGTTGAAAAAGCACCATGTTGTTTGAAATAGTCSTGCTCCGAAGGTGAAGTAAGGACAGGAAGTAGGTGTTCGGTGTGACAAACTCAGGAACTCAGGATGTGCTGAACATGTCCGTGTTACAGTAAYGCCAGGAAAAGCCTGCAGTTGGGCCGATCAGGAGAGGTGGGGCCATTTTTCACACGAGGCTTCAGAAAGCCTGAACGCCCACGCTGACTTTCTCAGACTCAGTAAGTGACTGAGGGGAGGAGGGAAAGAGGCAAAGAAAAGTGCAGATATGCCTGTTGTTAGCACTGTTTCAGAGTAAAGGGACCTCTGAGAATGATTCCATGAGGATGTTATCAAAGTTAGCAGCAGGTTTTTATGACTGCAAAAGTTTCTTTCTGTGTAGAAGTCTTTAAATTTTTACTATGATGCTCAGGCACACAGTGAAGTCCTGAGACCACCAAGTTCAGATAAATGTTCTGTAAAAAGTGTAAATTTACTTCTTCAGAGGGAAAAACAATGGTTTTAGAAAGTCCAAAACACAAAGGTAAATACTTTTCTCTTGAAAAGAAACGGCAACTAAAACCTGTGAAGACGAGAGTCGACAGAGGTGAAGTAAATTTGGGGGCGGAAATCAAGCGGTGTCGAGCGTTAAAATAAAGGTTGTGGTTAAGATTAGTTTTGTTGTTTTCTAACACATTTTTTTTTACTAAAACCCTGATAAATTTGAGCTTAATTAACCCTCAATCATTGAATGATAGAAGTGTAAATATTCACGTAAACATTGAAAAGTTTTGTATTTTAACAGCTGTTGTTAGAAATGAAACTATTATGTCACAGATGCTCAATCCGTTAGCACTCAGAGCGTGTGTTTGGTACTACTCTCAGCGCTTTCTGTCTCTAAGTTATTCCTAAATCATAAAACCTTAAAGGAAAACCTTCCTAATTTAAATTTTTAGGCTAAGATAGTTTTTGTTGTGATCCAGCCAGGTGTTAAACATCAAAACTCTGACTTTAGGTCATCTAGATGTTCATTAATCCTGCATGTGAGTGTAACTTCTAAACTCAACACTAGCATTGTGTGTAAGAAATAATAAAAACATGTTTCTACATGTGCGGCACGGTGGCTCAGTTGGTAGAGCTGATGCCTCTCAGCAAGAAGGTCACCGGTTCATATCCTGGTCTGGGGACCTTTCTGGGTAGAGTTTGCATGTTCTCTCCGTG